GAACGATACTTGTTTCTCAGAGACAGAAGCAGCTACAACAGAGAAGCAACCACAGTCTCCTATATTTAGAACATCAAGGTCATATGTCTCAACTAATTCTCAAAGCACAACAGAGAATCCTTTGGGTCAACCAACACAATTCAACAACCTTTCTTCTGGACAACCAATAACAACTGCCGAAGTTGCTGCTGGACAACCAACACCAGCTGTCTATGTGTCTTCTGGGAAACCAGCAGCACATACTTCTGCTGGACAACCACTTGCCTATAATGTCACCAGACAACCAATACCAATGGCCAACACCTCCTCCCAAGGGACAGCACTACCTGTGTTCACCTCTGCCAGACAACGATCAACACCTGCCCATTCTTCTACCAGACAACCACCACCATCTGTCCGTACTCCCACTCAACAACCATCATCTATCCACACCTCCTCTAGAAAATCAATACCACCAACTGCTCATCATCTATCCATACAACCAACACCAACTGTCAGAAGTTCACCTAGGAGTACACCAGGATTCAACCTAGAAACTACCACTAAAATCAAGAGCCCACAGAAAACCAATTCTAATTCAACAGCGGCCATATTAATTGGTTTAATTCTGACTTCTATGGTGGTAGCTATAATCATGATTGTATTGTGGAAATGCTTGCGAAAACCAGTGTTACATGATCAAAATTGGGCAGGTAGGTCTCCATTTGCTGATGGTGAAACCCCTGACGTATGTCTGGATAACATTAGAGAAAATGAAGTGTTTCCAAAACGTACATCAATTGTTTCACTTAGGGCCTGGAAACCAAGCAAAAGCACACTTTTAGCAGATGACTTAGAAATTAAGTTGTTTGAATCAAACGAAAACGTTGACGATTCTAACACTCCCAAAACAGAGGAAATAAAAGATCAAGCAAATGGCACATCAGAAGACAGTGCTGACGGATCAACAATTGGCACTGCTGTTTCCTCTTCAGATGATGCAGATCCGCCTCCACCGCCTCCTCCCCCTCTTGATTTGGAAGGACAGGCGAGTAACCAATCTGACAGACCCACAGTGACAACTGTATCTCCTCTTCCAAATGATTCCACCAATCTCCCACCACCTCTGGACTGCCCCAATCAAGTCTGTGAAGATCATGGTTCTGAGTTCAAACAGTCATTTCCACCTCCCCCTGACTCACTTAACTTGACCCTGCCTCCAGGAGATTTTATGAAAAACCAGGAGATCCAGTGTCAGCAGTTCCCTAGTCCTCCTGACTCTGATCAAAATCTCAATGAATCCCTGCCACCCCCACCTGCAGAACTGTTATAACTACTACTTGCTTTTTAGCTGATTTCTGTTCTTCTCAAAGGACTCCAATCTTTTGTTTTTCTTCATGTGATGAAATACATTAAATGGCAATTGGTAGCCAATTTTGATTTTTATTCAGGAACTACCTGAAATCTGCTCAAAGCCTATGTGCATAGGTGGAACTTTAAAAAAAAAAATTATATAACAGTGGTCTATTTACTGGCTATAGGCCCTAACTTGAATGTACAGTACATTTTACATATGTGGATGGTATGTGTATCAATAACTTAGCCATTTTGGAAATAAGCAATCTACATATGCTTATTATTACCCAATAGATATTTTTTTTCCTGAAAAGCTGTGTATAAAGTTACCTTGAATAAATAAAATTTTATTTTTCCATTTCAAAGTTTGAGGGAGTGTGTGTGTGAGAGAATTTAAATATATACTCCAAGTTTTAAACAAAACTCTAAGTTTTAAATTAATACCTCGGGTATTAAATAAATATTCCAAGTTTGTAGGGATGAGAGATTAAAATGCATGTCTATTGGAGAATAAATTTCCTTTTAGCTCTCATTGGAAACTGTCAGACAAACATATTAAAGCATCAAATTAAGGGGCTGAGTTGGGGACATTTACTCTGAAAAAAATACGAGCACACACCATAAAACATAGACATTTTTCTTATCTTGTTGGGGGAACACAAATTTTAGAACTAACCACTTTAAAAAGTTTCTTCTTCTTTTTTTTTGGCTGTGCTGCACAGCTTGCGGAATCTTAGTTCCATGACCAGAGATTGAACCCAGGCCCTCAGCAGTGAAAGTGTGGAGTCCTAACCATTGGACTGCCAGGAAATTCCCAAAGTTTCTTTATATGCCTCAAGCACCCCCAAAAAATGAAATCTTATAAAAGAAAAAAAAAACAAAAAAACCCAAAAAACACACCAAACCTCTATGGCTTCATTCCAAATTCGGATGACTTTTTTCAGAAAAAAAGGATTGTATCAAAATACAGATGGTTCTCAACTTTAAAAAACTCTTAACTACTTTTCTTACACAGAATTTCATCTTTTATTCATTACCTGACAAGTGATAAATCTGAGTTATCAGAGTAGGGGTGGGCCCAATCTTTGTCAAAGTTAAGACGGAGAGAGTCCACTGGCTGAGCCTCGTGGAGATGCCAGCCCATGCCTGCAGAAGTGCTCCTCTGCCCAAAAGCGCACATTCTCCCGCCTTACCCCACCCGAACTCGGGGGACAGTCACTTAGAATGAAAGACGGAGGCCATAGTGGTAACCTACCCTTGGAGAACCTCTCATAGCTCTGGGATTTTTCAGAATAAAATACAGTATTTACTGGCAGCACTGGTGTTCAAGAAACCAATAAAGCTCCATCTTAATAAAAACTAGCAGACTTTTGGACACTGAAATTTTATATACAATGTTTCTCTTTAAATCTTTTAAAGCGTACCTTACTGACTCTTAAAAAACTTTTTATCTGCAGACACACTTCCTTTGCACTTCTTTTCTCGAATAAGCATGATGTTTATTGTCATATTACATTGGTTTTCCTGTCTTCCACATTAAAAAGTTCTTTCATGTATTTTGCAAACTTACCATTTTTGAGGTTAATTTATTTAGCAACAATTAGGAGGTTAAGAATTTCTGCTTATTCGTTTGAATTTTAAGTATTCTAGTTAGGGTAAATAAAGTATAAAGTTTTTATATTTGGTCAAGACTTTGACATGCCTTAAATCACCATAACCTTTCTTGCTTTGCATATAGGATTGTTACCTAACGGGCTCTTCCCATACTTTTGTTCTTCTTTTTCATCACTTTCTTTTCCTGACCTCTTGAAGGAGAAGTATTGGGAAATACCAACCCTCATAGACAAATCAAAGAGCTGATGACCTGGTCATAGTCATGTCTGATTTCTTCAAACACTACAGAGGCAGCTTTTCTCCTTCTGTTCTTTGCACAATGGAAGAACAGACTCCTGTCAGCAGCTTCTTTTTGTTTTTTAAGAAATTCTCTGCCAGGGGGAAAGTAATTCCTATTTACTGAATGCAATTTTCCCCACTGAGGTCAGTGGAAGCTGAGCAGCCAAACAGCGGCAATCCTTTGCCTAATCAGCAGGAAGAAACGCAGCAGAAGAGAAAACGCTGGAACAAAGGAAAACCTACAGGAAAGACTAAAGAAGCAGGATTCAGAAGAGAAAGTTTATTTCATGACTACGGCAAAAGGACAAGGCACAGGGGAATAAAAGGTAGACTGAACTACATACTACACACCAGTGGTGCTCTTACCAGATCCCAGTAACCAGATTCAGAACAACCCTCAAGACCATCTAGTTCAGCTCCTTTTATTTGTTAAATGCTGAGAAAACAGGCCCAGAGAGAGTAAGTGACTTGCTTAGAAGTGGTAGTGAAAGCTGAGTTTGTTACCTGACTCCTGGTTCAGCATTCTTTTCACTAACATAGGACCAAAGAGCACCTACCTCACACATCGCAACATACATTTATCACACATGTATTCCATTTGGTGTTGGTGGTGGGCAACACCATGAATTAGATGAGAGTGACTCTAATTGTTGTTATTACCTAGTTCTGAACAAAAAGTAAAGTAGCAAAATATATGGGCACCTATAAGTAAAACACTGCGATATTAGTACATGATTAGACAGATCAATGGTACAGAATGGAAAGTCCAGAAACAGACTCAAATCTCAAATCAGTATTGGGACAACTGGATAGGTACTTGAAAAAGATGAAACTGGATTCATACTACATTAGAATAAACACCAAATAAATCAGAGATATAAATATAAAACATGAAATTATATAAAATTATATAAAAAACAGAAGAAATATGAGTGAATTCCTTTATAATCTGAAAGTGGGATAAACTTTCCTAGTTGAGACTCAAAATCCAGAAGCATTAATTAAAAAAAAAAAGGAAGTCCAATTACATAAAACTTTTAAATGTAAAACAAACACTATTAAAAAAGAAAAAAACATACCTTTGTCAAAAGACAAAGGACAAACTGGGGAAAAAATGTGCAACTTAAGTTAAGACAAAGGGCTAATATCCCTAAAGTTTAAAAAACTTAAATACAGACTGCGGGGGGCGGGGGGGGGGGGGGCGGATACCCACAACACACTAGAAAAAACATGCAAAACATGTAAAAGATAGTCACAGAAGAAAAATTTAAATGATCCTTAAAAACATATATAAAGTATACAACTTTTCTTATAATAAGCAAGATGTATTTAAAATTGAACTGAGATACTATTACCCATCAGATGGAAATAAATCCAAAAGGGAGAGGCCACGACAGTGAGAAGGCTGCGTACCGCAAAAAAAAAAAAAAAAAAAAAAAGTGGAGCAGAAGTTGTCATAAATCTGGTCTTATTTTATAAAGCCCCTAATGAAAGTTTTCCCTTTTACATTATTTCATGTAATTTAAAAACAATGTAAATTGTTTTCTCAGTAAGATAAAATGTGAAACGTTCTGAAGAAATCAACTAAAATTTACGCTATTATTATTATTATTTTTTTTTTTTGCGGTACGCGGGCCTCTCACTATTGCGGCCTCTCCCGTTGCGGAGCACAGGCTTCCGACGCGCAGGCTCAGCGGCCATGGCTCACGGGCCCAGCCGCTCCGTGGCATGTGGGATCTTCCCGGACCGGGTCACAAACCCGTGTACCCTGCATTGGCAGGCAGACTCTCAACCACTGCGCCACCAGGGAAGCCGCTATGCTATTATTTTTAAAACATAAAATCAAATAAATGGTCATTCATATAGTACCAAAGATGTCTCTGGAGACAACAATATTCATATCCACTGACCAAAGTAATTTCATGAAGAAAAAAATCCTTAACCCAAAAGATATCAAATAAAATGCATTTACTTTACTACATGAACTGATAATTAAAAGAATTAGATGCTCATTAAAAAAATGCAGCCTCGTTTGTGCATAGCCTGGGTCAAACAATCCTTTGTATCAGAAAGATAAAAACAAAATAATCATATTTAAGTACTTATGTACTTCTCCAAAAGATGAACAGTTAGGTGTTTGATAAATTTGAAAACCTGATTGTATATAATGATCACCATATTTGGTGGGGGGGGTACATAAAAAAATCAAACAGATCATAATATGTTATTTTAAAAAGTGATAAGACAATTGTACCATTTTAGAAAAAATAAAAAGGCAGAGTTAAAAATAGTTAAATATCTTAGAAAACCATCCACAAGGAAGGTCAAATTCATTTTCAACATTTTTCAATGTATAAAATGAATGAACAGTAGGCGCAATAAAAAGAACCACAGATTCTTCACGAGGTGAATGTTAAAATGTGGAGCCTAAGCTCAAATCACAGAAATGGGTAAAGGCCAGGTCTAATGTGCACGAGGTTTTCCATCCTACAGCAAATCTGAGATATATGGGTACACTCAACACTAAATTAAAAAAAAATTTCTTTTGGTCCATTCTGTTGCGTGTGCACCTCTTGCAATAAATTTGAGTCAGCACCAATGACAGCTCTGCAGTCCTCCTATGTGGTACTGATCAGGTGGTTGCAGAGCTTCAGCTCACAGCAACACAATGCAGCTGAGCAGGCAAGCACAGCCCACAGCCAGAAGCGGTTCCTACTTTCCAGAACAAGGCGACCTTTAAGCTTAAGTTTCCCGGAGAAAATGAGATGCTGATGTAGAAGACAACACTATGGTAAGCTGTTATTTAAATCAGTAAAAAATCGACTTCGGAATTTTTTTCTTTTTCCTTTTCTTAAGAGAAAGTCAACGTTAGGATTCAATATATATTCAATAGCAAGTGCATGCACCAGAAATTTGCTGCAGTGTCAGTTGAGGGATTTCTTTCTAATATTCATTCACTTTGTAAATATACACATTGTTTTCCTTTAGAATCGGCACTGAAATATACAGAAAAGAAATCACTTTATAAAATGTGAGATTTAAAGGTATGGTGTTGGTCAGATTTTTCAAGTGCCTTAAAATGTTTTGCAAGGATATATTTATCCTGAAAAGACAAAGATGCATTGCAAAGTATTGTCTTAATATCTAAATAAAATCTCATCCTACATACACATTGACTATTTTATTACTGCAGAGATCTGAAGAAAACAAAAAACCAAAAATAAACAACCAAAACAGACACGACAGCCATTTTTTTCCCATCTGAGTAAGGAAGAATATTATGAAAAATAGTAATAGCTTAAGATTCCGACTCTTTATTTGCCGAGAATGCCGTTTTATAATATCAACATTCTGGGAAGATAAATAAGAAAGACTATGGTAAAAGAAGGGAGAAAATAAATGAGAAAATGCAGAAGACAGTAGGGGGAGAGAGTCTCTATCACATAGCCCCAATTGAAGGATTAAGCATTTGGACTATAAATGAAGGGGAGCTTTGTTAGTTTAATCACTGGAACAATTATAAAAGAACTCAACAACAACGAGGTTTATTGAAAATTTTGCCTAATGCTAACTGACCCATGCAGATGCCTAATTGTATTTGCATATTAAAAGAAGGGTGTATCTGTTTGTTTCCAGGCTTTGATGGAATATCAGATATTGAAAATGTCTCCCAGCCTGTTCATCCTTCTGTCTCTCACACCTGGTATTTTATGCATTTGCCCTCTCCAATGTATATGCACCGAGAGGCACAGGCATGTGGACTGCTCAGGCAGAAACTTGACTACATTACCATCTGGACTGCAAGAGAATATTATCCATTTAAATCTGTCTTATAACCACTTTACTGATCTGCATAACCAGTTAACCCAGTACACCAATCTGAGGACCCTGGACATTTCAAACAACAGGCTTGAGAGCTTGCCTGCTCAGTTACCTCGGTCCCTCTGGAACATGTCTGCTGCTAACAACAACATTAAACTGCTTGAAAAATCTGATACTGCTTATCAATGGAACCTTAAATATCTGGATGTTTCTAAGAATATGCTGGAAAAGGTTGTCCTCATTAAAAATACACTAAGAAGTCTTGAGGTTCTCAACCTCAGTAGTAACAAACTCTGGACAGTTCCAACCAACATGCCCTCCAAACTACATACTGTGGACCTGTCTAACAATTCCTTGACACAAATCCTTCCAGGAACATTAATAAACCTGACAAATCTCACACACCTTTACCTGCACAACAATAAGTTCACATTCATTCCAGATCAAGCTTTTGACCAACTCTTTCAGTTGCAAGAGATAACCCTTTACAATAACAGGTGGTCATGTGACCATAAACAAAACATTACTTACTTACTTAAGTGGATGATGGAAACAAAAGCCCATGTAATAGGGACTCCCTGTTCTAGCCAGATATCACCTTTGAAGGAACATAACACACACCCCACACCTTCTGGATTTACCTCAAGCTTGTTCACTGTAAGTGGGATGCAGACAGTGGACACCATTAACTCTCTGAGTATGGTAACTCAATCCAAAGTGACCAAAATACCCAAACAATATCGAACCAAGGAAACAACGTTCGGTGCCACTCTAAGCAAAGGCACCACCTTCACTAGCACTGACAAGGCTTTTGCGCCCTATCCAGAAGATACATCCACAGAAACGATCAATCCACATGAAGCAGCAGCTGCAACTCTAACTATTCACCTCCAAGATGGAATGGTTACAAACGCAAGCCTCACTAGCTCAACAAAATCATCCCCAACACCCATGACCCTAAGCATTACTAGTGGCATGCCAAATAATTTCTCTGAAATGCCTCAACAAAGCACAACCCTTAACTTACGGAGGGAAGAGACAACCACAAATGTAAAGACTCGCTTACCTTCTTCTGTGGCAAGTGCTTGGAAAGTAAATGCTTCGTTTCTCTTAATGCTCAATGCTGTGGTCATGCTGGCTGGCTAAGGGTCTGCATTTTCTGAAATTAATGAAAGAACTCCTCCCTGATGTATAGTTGGGAAGATATGCCCCTATCTAACCCGTGACTCAAGCTATATTATGTATTCAAGAAAGCCAGTCTCACATTTCCGACTCTGATGTGAATGAAGCAACTTGTCTTAATGAAGAGTGCACAATGTCTCGGTACTTGCTGCTACTTTACTGTCTTAATGAAGTAAAACTAATGAGTTTCTTTTTTTTAAATGAAATGTTTTCTTTTTAAGGCTTCAATTTACTGCACAAAATATAAAGCATCTCAACTTTAATATGTATTTTATGTATGTTTACACTGTCAAACATCTGGGAAAAAATAAAAGGTCTATGCTCATAACTGTGTCACTGGCTTTCTAGTCATACCAACTTAATCTACTTGGTAGAATCAAAATGACTTAACCTTTTTTTGTTCTAGGGTACCTTGGTAAAGTCTTTATGGCAAATGTAATATTGGAGGTATCCAACAGTTCTGTCACCACATAAAGTAAAACTGTGGTTGCCTCCCTATGAATGGTTATGTCACATCATTATTTTGCACACAAGCCATGATTGTTTTAAATCTAAATGATGTCCTGCTTCTGAGGAACTCTTGGCTACTTTACAGATTATATAATGGACAAAAAAGCTCTTCAAAAAGCTAGAAGACACTAGGCTTTGCATTTTAATAAGTAAAGTTTAATGGCATTTTTTGTATTTAAGGAAAGTATTAAAAATGTAATAAAACTTTCAAGCTTAAAGACATGTTAAAATATTTAAAAAGTTAAAAGCCTCCTATGTGCAGGAGAGGGAAATTTATCTTTTGCACATTGGAAGTTAGAATCTGACTTACCTAAGTTAAAAATAAGATTAGTTTCAGGATAAAATCATGGGGATCTAACAAATATGGGCAGTACTAAGGAAGGGGAGGAAAAGGAAAGGAGAAAGGGAAAGAAGGCTGGGATTCATCTGGTGCTACGACCAGGTGATGAACCCAATAAAAGAGACAATAGGAATACAGCTGGGCATGGGACAGATCCTGACACTCCAGACTGCACTGGGACTTCAACTAGAAGGAAACTGAGAATTTTCTACAAAAATACAAGTAAGCCATCTTTTGAATCAGAGAAACACATAAGTAATAGCCAAGAGTCAGAAAAAGAGGCCCAGCAACACAGCTAGATTAAAATGCAAGACAGCATAACTGAAATGGGTGAGCCACAAATGAGGAATTTAATTTGTGAGACATAAGGAAGAATCTATTTCAAGTATTCTTAGAGTTGGTAAAAGACTACAGATAGAAATTTTTGGGCTCCTTCCTAAGGAATTTTAAAACTAAGATTTCTTTCCACATTTGGAAGCATTTCTATTCAGAGACAGAGAAAAGTAACAACCTTCTAATGTGCTCTTTCTTTTTTCTTTCTTTCTTTCTTTTTAAGGGGCAGGCTTATGGAAAAATTACTTCTAAGCTTCAATGAAGCAGTTCCTCTCCTATACTGACTTAGTGCAGTGACTCCTGAACATTTTTCTGCCCTGGCAAACCTAACTGGCTCACTATTGTCAGGAGGGAATCTCACCATGAAGAAAAGAAATTATATGAAATAGTCCCTAAATGATTTGAAAATGGGCAAGCTGTTTCTCCTCCCTCCCAATCAACAATCTAGTATCTTCACCATCAATGGTAGAGGCTAATTGCTTAGATGTTTCCTAATCTACCACATACTTGCATCTTGTTTTAAAAAACCACACACAGAATTGCACAGAAAGTAGGTTTCTTAAAAGTAACTGTCTTTCACTCTGAGGGTGCCAAAAATTCAATGCTGTCTTAGAAATCCTATGAGGAAAAGTGACCAGAAAGTGAAATTATGTATTATAGCATTAGCAGCACCTATACATTATGCCAATCTTACTGATGTGTCTGCAAAATGCAGAGAAAAAAAGGCAGTAAATTTACAAGTACAACATATGTCAACCACACAGGCTCTTAAGTCCTCAGAAAGAAGTATTATCTAGCCTTATAGTAATTACACACTTCCTTCTAAGGAAATTGTGTTCTTATCATTACTGATGGAGTAGGGAGCAGTATTTGCCACTCAAACAAGAACTACCTTATTATTGGGCTCCATAAACATTTCAAAATGTATTATCCTCAGTGTCTATCTCTCAAGCTCGTAAGTTATATATCCATCCATCCATCCCTAAGGTTTGATTTCATTTTACAAGTAACTTTTGTTTCTCCCCAGTCAAGAGAATTCAAATAAGAGCACAAACACAAAAGCAAATGCAATAAGGGATAAAATAGCGGTGAAGGGTATTGTGCTCTGGTGTCAAATGTTCTAGGCCTAAATCCTGTCTCTGCTGCTTCTCAACTGTACAACCCTGGGCAAGTTACCAATGCCCTAAGTCATATGGGCTGGCAGAACTTATTCATAGTGGGTATTTTTTCCTGAGGAATAAATGGCATAATTCATATACAGTCTTATCACAGTGTCTTGGCTCCCCACATTCTACATGCAGTAATTTTGCTGTTAGTATTATTATATGTTTGTGTCCAAACCCATGCTCTGAGAAATTCCCACATATGTAAACACCCAAGCGCCACACTCTAAGAGCAAGAAAATGAAATAGTATATTTTTTGCTTCAGTCCCTGATCCTTCACCCTCCAGGATTCAGGTTCAGATGTTAGTGAGACGGAGACCCAGAAGAAAGAGAAACATTCTCTTATCACAGCAGAATGAGAAAATGTCTTCTATGCCTAACTTAAAAGATGACAAATATGTGCTATTCAATAACCTTCCATAACAACGTTCTGAAGCAACAGCAAATTCCTTTACACCAAAAATGTCACACAAAAGTCAGTTTAAAACCTTTATAAGATTATTCCTTATGAAATACATTGTAAGAACTAGATAAGGAATGATACCATGTACTGTAAATGTCATGCTTAAAAGTGAAATATTATATTTCTACTAAAATCAGAATCAAAACAACAATGCCCATTACCATCAATCTTTTAAACATTATTCCAGAATAAAAAACAACAGACATAGGGCTTCCCTCGTGGTGCAGTGGTTGAGAGTCCGCCTGCCGATGCAGGGGACACGGGTTTGTGCCCCAGTCCGGGAAGATCCCACATGCCGCGGAGCGGCTGGGCCAGTGAGCCATGGCCGCTGAGCCTGTGCTCCGCAACGGGAGAGGCCACAGCAGTGAGAGGCCCACGTACCACACACACACACACACACACACACACACACACACACAAATACTCAAAGAGAAAAACGTAAAGGAGATTGTTAATCAAATGCTCATAAAATTGATAAGAAAAATACTTAGATTTCCCAATGGATAAGTGGGTAAAGGACACAAACAGAATGTTTAAAAGATAGGAAGCATGGGGATTGATAAGTATATGGGAATATGGCAAACCACATAATAACTGAGAAATAAAAACAAAATGTGATACCACGCTTATTACTGAAACAGCAAGCAATTTTTTAAAAAGTAAAAAAAAAAAAAAATCAATGCTGGGGAAGACATTAGGAAATAGTCACATTCACATACTGGTACAACTCTTTGGGACAGCAATTGGCAATTGCGATGAGAAAATAGCTATTCTGAGTTGCTGCCTAAGCATTTTACAGTATGACAACCCTACACAGACCCAGAGTCTGGACATTTAGATAAGGACTCAAATTAGGATTACCACCAGAAGTTCCCACTTTGCTTTTCCTGGGGCACCTTTTAAAATAAGCACTTAGAGTCGAGCCTGTAAAAATTTAAGTGACTGTCATCCCAACCACCTTACAAGAGGTGCTTCCTACCCTGTACTGTATCTCTTGAACTGGGGAAGAGGACTGCTCTTCCCCCAGCTCACTGTGCACACCCCCAGCCCCCGGAGACGTTTCTGGGATCTCTAAATAATAAATCTTGTGACTTTGCTTCCTTTTTCTGAGTGTATTGAAACTGAGCCTTCAATCAAAATGACCCCAGGGGTTTTCACTTCCCTTGAAAATTGAGGGAGCTACTTGCCAACCCCAAGTGGGTGGCTTGTGCCTCCTCATTCAACAAGTCATAATCTGCATATCTTTAAATTAATATACCAATTACGCGGGAGGGCAACACAGCAATGATCAAAAACCTAAAATATTTCAACCTTTAACCTAGTAAATTCTAGGTAAATACCAGCATTCTTTCTAATAGCAAGAAAAACAGAATGCTAAATATCTACCATTAGGAAACTGGTCAAGTACATGATGACCCACGGGCCAGAATATTACGTGTCCAATACAAATATTTATGTAGAGGTTTTTTTTAAGTTTGAAAAGTGGAAAATGCATATACTAGAAAGATAAGCGAAAACTATAGGATATATAAACATGTATGTTATAGAACTATGTATAAAAACAACAAAAAAGATAAATATACCAAAATGCTAATATGTATACCAAGTGTGTTTTATCACCTGCTTTGTCTTTGAAAAATGCAAGAGATCTTAGAAAAGAACTATTGAAACAGCTGTCCAAGGGCTCTAGGCTGAGTAAGAAAATGAGATGATGCAAAATGAACTGTGAATAGGGAGGGGTGGTTAAGAAACTAGAGGGTATCATGGAATAAAGATCAGAGACAGAGATGCACGATCAGATTTCTTGGAAGCACATACTTATTATATTAGCTTACGTTAGCTCTACACGGTTAACTGCTGTCAGGACTGTTCTCCAACAAATCTAACCAGACAAGCTCTTTTCTCTCCTAATAACAAAGCAAATGAACAACAACAACAAAAACCCCTCCAAAAAACTTTCAATAATTTCCCATGTCTCAGAATAAAATCTAAATTCTCAATATGGCTTACTATATGATCGGGCCCTTGCCACCCTTTACAGTATCATCATAAGATTTTCCAGCTCCCTCACACTGTATAGTTCAAACAAAACATCTTTCTGTCCCTGTAATTCACCATGCTCCCTCCTGCCATCAGGCTCTCAGAGATTCTTCACGTCCTCACCACTACACTCCTTTCCCTCTTCTTCCCCTGGCAAACCTTTATTCATCCTTTTTATCTCTGTGTAGATTATCACCTCCTGCTAGGAGGTCTTTTTTCAGGGCGGGGTGGGAAGAGGGGCCAGCTTGATCTGAATTTATTAAATAAAAGGATGAATTAATACAGATCAAAGATATGACTGGTGCGCTAATAATAACCTACTTAAGACAGACCAAGTCAAACCTCAAGTCTTTCTTATTCTAGAGCTTAAGTTTCTTCCAATAGGTCAAAGTCTTAGCTTCATAGTCCAGGGAAAAAGAGAGATGAAAGAAAAGTTATGAATGAAGGGGATTTGGCTAGGCTGCTACTTGTCATATAA